GGTTTTTGAAAAGAGTAATAAAATCGACAAAGCACTAGCAAATTAAACAAAAGAAAAGAATTATATGTAAATAACACATATAAGAAATGAAATGGGCAACATCACAACAGAACCAACCAAAATAAAAAGGATAACAGTATACCATGAAGAACTGTATTCCAACAAATTTGAAAGACTACAATAAATGGACAGATTTCTAGAGGCATACTACCTACCTAAACCAACACAGACAGAAAATTTGAAGGGACCCATAACAAAAGAAGAAATGGAACAGATCTTAAAAGCACTCCCAATAAAAAAAGTTCCGGCCCAGATGGTTTCACTGGAGAATTCTATCAAACATTCAGAGAAGAGCTGACACCAATTCTACCCAAACTATTCCAGAATATAGCAAAGGAGGGAATATTTCCAAATTGATTTTATGAACAGAGCATAACCCTGATATCAAAGCCAAAGACATCACTAAAACATAAAATTATAAACCAGTATCTGCCATGAACATAGCTACAAAAATTCTCAACAAAATCCCTAGCCAATGGAATCCAACAACATGTCAAAAACAATAATAATACATCATGACCAAGTGGGATTCATACCAAGTATGCAAGGATGGTGCAACATTGCAAAAACTATCAATGTAACCCATCACAAAAATAAAACAAAGGAGAAGAACCACATGATCATATCAATTGACAAGGAAAATGCACTGGACAATATTCAACACCTAATCTTGATAAATATATTGAACAAAATAGGAGAAGAATGGAAATTCCTCAATATAACTAAGGCCATAGATACAAAACCAATGACCAATGTTACTCTCAATGGAGAGTCTGTAAGCACTACCCCTATGAACAGAATAAGAATTCCATATATCACCACTCCTATTCAATATTGTATTGGAAGTCCCAGTAAGAGCAATAAGGCAAGACAGGGAAATAAAAGGCATCCAGATTGGCAAAGAAGAAGTTAAACTATCTCTACTTGCAGAAGATATGATCCTATACATAGAAAATCCCAAAGATTCAGCAAGAAAATTGCTGGACCTAATTGAAAGTTTCAGCGATGTGGCAGGATATAAGATCAATATACAAAAATCAGTAGGATTCTTTTACAATAATGAAGAGAACTCTGAATAGAAAATTGGGGAAACATACCATTTACAACAAACACCCAAAAGATGAAATACTTAGAAATAAATCTAACCAGAGACACAAAAGACCTATACAAAAAAAAAAAAAAAAAACCTATAAAACTACAACTATAAAACCCTACTACAAAAAACCAAAAGAGACCTACATAAATGGAAGACTCATTGATAAGAAGACTTAACATCATGAAAAATCAATACTGCCCAAAGCCATCCACAGATATAATATAATCCTGAACCAGATTCCATCATCATTCTTTAAAGAGATGGAAAAACTAATCACCAACTTTATATGAAAAGGAAAGAAACCCCAGAAAAGCAAAGCACTACTAAAGAAGCAGAACAAAGTAGGAGACCACACACTCCCTGACCTCAAAACTTACACAGTCACAGTAGTTAAAACAGCCTGATACTAGTACAATGACAGACACACAGACCAATGGAACAGAATTAAGAACTCAGAAGTAAATCCATCCACCTATGGAGAGCTGATCTTTGACAAAGAGCAGAAGCTCTTTAAATGGGGATGAGCTAGTCCTTTTAACAGATGCTACTAGCAAAACTGGATATCCACCTACAGAAAAATGAAACAGGATCCATATGTCACACCATATACATAAATGAATTCAAGTTGGTTCAAAGACCTGAATGTAAAGCCTAAAACTATAAGGACAAATAAAGAAAAAATAGGGACAAATGTAGGGGTCCTCATACATGGCATAAATACATTATTGAATGTAATTCAAAATGCACAAACACCAGAAGAAAAAACAGATGCTGGGAACTCCTAAAGATGAGACATGTATTCACATCAAAAGTTTTTACCAAAGGAGTAAAAAGAGAACCCACAGACTGGGAAAAAATCTTTAGCAACAACATATCGGACAAGGGGCTAATCTCTAAAATTTATAGAAAACTTTAAAACCTCAACAACAAAAAGAGAAATAATCCAATTTGAGCAAGCACTTCACCAAAGAATGCATTCAGGCTGCTAACAAGCACATGAAGAAATATTCTCAATCATTTGCCATTAGAGAGATACAATCCAAAACAACAATGGGATATCATCTCACCCCAGCAATAATAGCAAAGTTGAAAAAACAAGAAAACAACAAATTCTGGCAAGGATGTAGAGAGGCTGGAACACTTACACGCTATTGTTGGGACTGTAAAATGGTACAGACACTGGGGAAAATGGTATGGCACTTCCTTAAAAAGCTGGAAACATAAATACTGTATGATGCAGCAACCCCACTACTAGGTATATATCCTAGAGACATTAGAGCTGTGACATGAACAGATACATGCACACTCACGTTCATTGCAACAGTATTCATGATATCAAAAACACAGAAATAACCTATATGCCCATCAACAAATGAATGTATAAACAAACCATGGCACATACACACATGGAATACTATGCAACATTAAAGAACAACAATGAATCTGCAAAGCATCTCGTAACATGGATCAATCTAGAGGACACTGGACAAATATTACATGATACCACTATTGTAAAAAGTGAAGAAAAGGTTTTCACACAAAAAGAAGTATCACTTGATGGTTACCAGGGATAGGACAGGAAGGGAGGTTAAACCACTAACTAGAGGGTAGACACATATTAACTTGGTGAAACCAAAAAAAAAAAACCAAACTCACTGCCACTGAGTCAGATCTGACTCATAGCAACCCCTCCTTGGGTTTCCAAGGCAGTATCACTACAGAAGTAGATTGCCCAACCTTCCTTCTGAGGAGTGGCTAGTGAGTTTGAACTGCCCGCCTTCTGGTTAGCAGTCAAATGCTTTAGGCACTATACCACACCAGAGCTCCCTAACTTGGGTGAAGAAGAAGGCAAATACAGTAAGTACGAGGTTAGCACAAAATGATGAAGGAATGGAAGATGCTGGGAGTAGAAGAGTTAAAGGTAACAGAAATAAATACAAATTCATACACAATCCTGTAATGACAGTAATAACAATAATCAATAATCTAAAAATGGAAACGTAGAAAGATATGCAAGTTGAACAAATATGGGAAGGAGAATGGGACTATACCTACAATATGTGTAGGTTTGACAGAGGATGTTTCTACATATGTATTTACATATGTTGCAAACATATCCAGGAATGTAGTAAAGCATACAGGTGGCAAAGTCATAAAAATATCTTAGCTATAACTAAAAACCCTGAAGGAGTGAGTATTCCAGGCCTGGGGACCCAGGTCCACATTCAGGGAACATCAAGTTCAACTGGCAAAACACAGTCCACAAAGACTATGTTCTACATCTTACTTTGGTAAGTAATGACTGGGGTTTTAAAAGTTTGCCAGCGACCATTTAAGGTGAAATTATTGGTTTCTCCTCATCCAGAGCAAAGAAGAATGAAGAAAATAAAAGACAAATGGGAAAAAATTACTCCAAAAGACTGATGGACCATGAGAATCTCAGCCTCCACCATCCTGAGACCAGAAGAATTTGATAGTGCCCCACTACCACTACCAACTGCTCCGAAAGGGAACACATTATATGGTGCTGGATAGAGTGAGAGAAAAGTATGGAACAAAATTCAAAACAACAAAAAAAGACCTTGTTTCTGGTCAGATAGAGACTGGGGAAACCCAGAGCCTATGGCCCATAGGCAAGTTTTGAACCTGGACCTGAACTAATTCTTGTAGCTGAATTTTCAGTCAAACAATAGACAGGTCTTTAAGATAAACAATTAAATCTAGAAAGCTAGACATTCCTTAGAACAATCAACCATTTAAGATCAAAAGGGCAGCATTTGCTCAAAGTTCAGAAGGCAAGAAGGGTTAGGAGAGAAGGAGAAACGGAAACAAGAAACACAGGAAAGATGGGGAGGAGTGATGTTACACTGAGGGGACTGCAATCAATGACGTGAAACAAAATATGTGTGAATTTTGTTCTGTAAAGTTTCACCTAAAATACAACAAAAAGTTTTTTAAAACATACAAATTAAAATATATATGTCCAGTTTTAATAATTGTTGTCTATGGAAGTGTTCATGTAATCCTTTCCGAAATCTACCATTATTGAAAATCTATCATTAAATTTTTACAGATCAAAAAATAAGGATTAGGAAAGTTATATTGCTAGTAAGTGTCAGAGCAAAGATTTTTAATAGCTGGACTTTTATAAGGAGTTCTGGTGGCATAGTGCCTAAGGCATTTCACTGCTAACCAGAAGGCTGGCAGTTCAAATCCACCAGCCACTCCTTGGAAGGAAGGTTGGGAAAGCCTGATCTTCCCTTGACAGTCTACTGAAATTTCTCTATTACATGTGCAATAAATCAGTCTATTATGCCACTAAATATTTTAACAAATAACACAAAATATAGTACAAAACAAAGGGTAGTATTAATTGCTTTCCTTTCATCCATATAAACCAATTAATCAAAATTCGATCTTGTGTTAATTTGAATTTCAGAAATGATGTGCTTAGGGATGATTATGATGTTTTAATGAGTCTAAAAAGAATGGAAATAAAAAAAAATGCTTTATAAAATTATTTTCAAGACTAGGAGTTACCTCCTAATTTCATTCTTTACATTTTGGGGACAATAGAATGATTCATTCATTTTGTAGCAACTCTGTTTGACATCTAACACAAAATAGATCACTAATAAACCATATAGAAAACTAAACTTTGTTGTTGTTGTTGTTATGTGCCATCGAGTCGGACCCGACTCATAGCAACCCCTTCTTGGGTTTCCAAGGCAGTATCACTATAGAAGTAGATTACCCAATCTTCCTTCCAAGGAGTGGCTGGTGGGGTTGAACCACCAGCCTTCTGGTTAGCAGTCAAGTGTCTTAGCAATAGAATAATGAATACCTTCTTTTGCATCTGTCCTTGTAGATCTTCAGTCACTTTGGTTAACTCTTCCACTTTTGCTGCTGCAACTCTCAGATCTAACTTGGCTTGCCTAAGAAAGAAAACAGATGAACATTGTTTTAATAGATCATAAAGATTTAAAGATTAGAATAGAAAGCTAAGTTCAAGAAAATTAGTACTAATGCTTGTGTATATAAATATGTATCTACGGTATAAATTCAGAAAGATTCCTTTTAATGAATAAAGTGCATATGAAAGAGAATACAGAGAAAAAGTATAGCTGAACAGTGGGTGTAAAGTAGGAGTCATTAATATTTTCTTTGGCCAAATTATATTTTATAAGAAATAGTTCAATACATCCCATGAAAACAAACTTTAGCACCTTCATAAATTACCTAACAATAGGCTAGTGTACTAAGTAAAATACAGATATTCTTTAATTTCCTGAAGCTTATAGAGCTAGACAAGGATTACTGATAGGACCACTCATGAAAATGATGCTGAATTCAATATCTTGATCATTCCTTAAATAACGGAAGTATGTATTATTAACCTCCTAACATAATAAATTTAAAAATTTCCTCCAAGATATTGTAATATTTACTTTCTCCAGAGACTGTAGTTGAAAAGGACAAAATATACAAGTTTTAAATAAGTAAATAATTCAGTGTTAAAACAAGTAATATAATGCAGTATTAAATAAGTTTTGATATCTTCTTGCCTCTTCATAAAAATGATTTTAAAACAATGATATAAGACTTTCTTACTTTCCCCTACATGTAACTACTGTTTATTTTATGAACCAATCTGTTATTTAGCTGAAAGGTAACTTCTGGGAGTAGTTTCAGTTCAAAGTTTGATATGAGATTTTCTGAAACAGAATAAAAGGTTTCAACATCATACTAATTAAGTCCAAAGTGTGAATACAAAATATTCTGACTGGATATAAAAATATTTTTAAGAAAATAAGCTTCTGTGCTGCAGGTACTTCTTAATTATATTTTATGTATGCATTTTAAATATAAATTATATTAATGTTACTGAATTTACAGAAATTATTTGCCATAGCATTTATAAGAAAATGTTCCTTATTTCATGTACTTTTGACCCTTTAATAGTATATATCATTCTGATTAACATAAAACAATAGGAAATAAAAATTTTATAATATATACAATATATCAGGCAGTTACTAGGTACCAGGAATTGCCCTAAATGCTTTGCAGACATCATCTCTTTTAATACAACAACCTATGAATAACCAGGGTTTCCAACTGGTTCATTCCAGTTCTACCCCCTGCTAAGAATTTGCATTTCCACTGTAGATATACTGAATCAGACTCTATACTTTAACAAGATCCTCAGGTGATTCTTACGGATCTGGTGGTGATTCTTATGTAAGCATAATAATCATCTGGGAGCTTGTTAAAATATAGACTCTTAGCATAACTGGAATGTAGTTACTGTTAGGAGCTCTGATGGCATAGTGCCTAAAGCATTTAACTGCTAACCAGAAGGCTGGTGGTTCAAACCCCAGCCACTCCTTGGAAGGAAAACTGGGCAATCTACTTCCATGGAGATAAAACCAAACTCACTGCCATCGAGTCAATTCGACTCATAGTAACCCTTCCTTGGGTTTCAGAGGTGATACCTCTACAGAAGTAGTTTGCCCAATGCTCTTTCCAAGGAGTGGCTGGTGGGTTTGAACTGCTTAGCCTTCTGGTTAGCAATCAAATGCCTTAGGCACTACACCACCAAAATCCAAGGAGGGGTTGCTATGAGTTGGAACCAACTTGACAGCAGTTGAGTTTGGTTTGTTGATTTAGTTGTTGTCAGGTGTTGTTGTTGTTGTTAGGTGCCATCCAGTTGACTCTGACTGATAATGACCCCATGGAAAAAAGAACAAAACAAAGCCCGGTCCTGTGCCAACCGACCAATTCTTGCTATACTTGAGCCCATCATGGCAGCCACTGTGTCTATCCACCTCATTGAGGGCCTTGCCCTTCCTTGCTGACCCTCCTCTTTACCAACCATGACATCGTTCTTCAGGGAATGGTCCCTTCTGACAACATGACCAAAGTAGGTGAGATGAAGTCTGGCCATTCTTGCTTCCAACGAATATCCCAGGTACACTTCTTTAAGGATGATTTCTCTATTGTTCTGGCAGTCCATGGTACTTTCAGTATTCTTAACCAACACCACAACTCAAAAGCATCAACTTTTCTTCAGTCTTCCTTATTCATTGTCTAGCTTTCACATGCATATGACTGAAAATACCATGGCTCCGGTGGCATAGTGCCTAAGGCATTTGACTGCTAACCAGAGGTTGGCAGTTCAAACCCACCAGCCATTCCATGGAAGGAACCTGAGCAATCTACTTCTGTAAAGATTTACTTCCTCAGAAACCCAGAGGGGGTTGCTGAGTCAGAATCAATTCGATGGCAGGGAGTTTGGTTAGGTTTTGGTTGGGTTAGGTGCACCTTAGTTTTCAAAGAGATACCTTTGTTCTTCAACACTTTAAGGAGGTCTTTTGAAGCAGATTTGCCCAGTGCAGTACATCATTTGACATCTTGACTCCTGTTTTCATTGGTGTTGACTGCGGAACCAAGTAATATGAAATCTTTGACAACTTCAAACTTTTTTCCATTTCTTGTGATGCTCCTTATGGTGCAGTTGTGAGGATTTTCACTATCTTTATGTTGAGGTGTGATCCACACTTCAGAATGAAGTCTTTAATATTTATCAGCAAGTACTTCAAGTCATCTTCACTTTCAGTAGGCAAGGTTGTGTTGTCTGCACATCACAGGTTGTTGTGCACCACGTTACCTGTCAGTTTGTCATACTGTGGTGGCCTGTCTATTGCTGTGAGGCTGGAGGACATGCCACTGGTATTTCAAATACCAGCAGGGTCACCCATGGTGGACAGGTTTCAGCGGAGCTTCCAGACTAGGACAGACTTGGAAGAAGGAAGGGGCCATCCACTTCTCGCAGAATCATCCAGTGAAAACCTTATTAATAGCAGTGAAATGCTATTTGATATATTACTGGGAAACTTTATAAATAGCCCTGAAACATAGTCTGATATAATGCCATAATATGAGCCCCTCAAGCCAGAAGGCATTCAAAATATGACTGGGAAGACCTACATTCTCGATGTAGAGTTGACCTTAATGACATGGATGAAGTACAGCTTTCAGGACCTCCATTTGATGATGGGGCACGACTCAAAATAATTGGAACATGGAATGTATGAAATATTAATCTAGGAAATTGGAAGCTGTCAAAAACGAAATGGAACGCATTAAGATTGATCTCCTAGGCATTAGTGAGCTGAAATGGATTGTTTTTGGCCATTCTGAATCAGACAACCATGGGATCTACTATGCCGGGAATGACAAATTGAAGAGGAATGGTGTGGCACTCACGGTCACAAAGAATGTTTCAACATATATCCTGAAGTAAAGTGCTGTCAGTGATAGGATCATATTCATATGCCTTGATGTAAGACTAGTTTATAGCACTATTATTCAAATTTATGCACCAACCACTAAAGCCAAAGATGAGAAAATTGAAGATTTTTACCAACTTCTGCAGTCTGTAATTGGCCAAACATGCAATCAAGATGTATTGATTATGACTGGTGAGTGAAATGCAAATGCTGGAAACAAAGGAAAATCACCAGTAGTTGGAAAATATGTCCTTGGTGATAGAAATGATGCCAGAGATCACATGATAAAACTTTGCAAGACCAACGACTGAGTCAGTGTAAATACCTTTTTGCAACAACATAAACAGAGGTTACACATGTGGACTTTGCCAGATGGAGTACACAGGAATCAGACTGACTATATCTGTGGCAAGAGGCAATGGAAAAGCTCAGTATCATCAGCCAAAACAAGGCCAGGAGATGTCTGTGGAACAGACCATCACCGGCTCATATGCAAGTTCAAGTTGAAGCTGAAGACAACTAAAACAAGTCTACAAGAACCAAAATATGACCTTGATTATATCCCACCTGAATTTATAGAGATCATCTAAAGAACAGATTTGATGCTTTGTATACTAATGACTGTAAAACAGATGAACTGTGGGATGTCAGCAAGAACATCATTCATGAAGAAAGCAAAAGTCCATTAAAAAGACAGGAAAGGAAGAAAAGACCAAAATGGATGTCAGAAGAGACTGAAACTTGCTCTTCACTGGAGAGTAGCTAAAGCACATGCAAAAAATGACAAGATAAAAGAGTTTAACAGAAGATTTCAAAGAGAAGCTCAAGAAGACAAAGTCAATTAATATAACGAAAGGTGCAAAGCCCTGGAGTTTATATCTGGGGTAGAAATGTACATTCTCCGCAGAGGGTCAAACTGGGATGAAGTAGTAGTTCAAAGCCCTGGCTACTATTATTGTATCATATCGAAGATGAGGAGATTAAGGTTGATAGAGGTTTAGCAATTTGCCTAAGGATTTAGAATAAGCAGTGAAACTGGTATTTAAGCAGTGTCTTCTACAAAATACTCTCTACCAAAAAATGGTTGCATTAATGTTTTATATGATAAAACATTATAAGACAATAACAAAGCATTTACAAAAGTGTTTTGCTTTAAATAAATGCAATTTATAAAATATGACTTTATTAAAATATGTAATTGATTTTATCACTTGCAAAATCATTCACCAAATGACAAAACGAAAATAAAAAGTCACCTATATAGCAATAGATTTAAAATGTAGTTTAAGCTTAGGGAAAATTCTAGGAGTGTATGAACTATAAACATCAATCAATTAATACATCAGTTATCAAAATGTTATATACTTTAAAAAGAAAAACTTAAGGACAAAGATATTTACTTAATGTTAAAATTGAAAATATACTGAGTAAGCATAGCACCAACACTGACTTTGTTTTCTTGCCTTCAGAAAGGAAATAACATTGCTTGTTCTACTTGTTTCAAGGGGTTGTTGAAGTCACAATAATGTAAATTAAACTGTACTGTGAAGTATAAACAAATGTAAGTTTATAGTATGATTAATTAGAGATTATCTATTAGAGACACAGAGGAAGTAAGATGCAATGTAGAGAATACTTGACTA